CAGCTCCTCAGATGAACATAAGACTGCAAAAAACATTATAGAAAGATGGTTTAAATCACAAAAAGATACATTAAACAAGTACTTCTATCAAAAAGAAAAATAAATGAAGCCTGTAAATGACTCTACTAAATCTTAAGTCCGAAGCAATCCTTATTTGAAAACAATTTCTTCAATATATGAATTTCACATGGTGTCAGGCAATTGTTCTTTTCCTATTCCTGGGAATATATATCAGAAGGATAGTTTCAGATATTTGTAGCCACATCCACTTCTGACTGTGATTTGTCAAATAAATTGGGTGTTTCTAGAAGACATTAAAGACTAATGCACAAATTTCAGGTAACTTTGAGCACAAAAATACATGTTATGGTCACGGTAATTGGCAACAGAAAGATCTTTACTTCTCACAAGAAACCAGACCCTGACTACTGAGGCAGATTAACGCTGGACAAGTGCTTGGACTAATAAGTCTTTGAATAGTATCCAATTAATATTTAGTCATTTAGTCATTTATAAGACCTTACCATTTTGTTTCCTTTTTCTTATTCAAATTTAGTAAGTCATAACAGTTTTTCTGAAGGTTTGGCAATAAATCCAGAATTTTGATACATCCATATTTGCATATTTCCATATCATCAGAGTTAAATAGGGCTTCCTGACAATGTGTGGTTAAACAGTACCGTTTTTAAATAGATTTAAATGTGCCTATACTCCTGAATTAGACAAAGAATTTCACACCAGGGGAAATGTGAGATGCATTACTGTCTTCAGTAGACACAGCCAACCAGTCCTCTGGAAGTTTGAAAGATGGAAATACAGAAAAAATCAATACATAGAGGAGACAAAGCTGTGCCAGAGCATTCAATCTAAAAGGTACTCAATGACTTCAGCTTTTGCATAGTTTAGTGGTAAATCAAGTTTACTAGGGAGCTCTGGAGAGTCGAGACTGACCTTCTCCTGTTATGTCAAGTATTTATACTCAATATACTCAGTATTTCTACCAGTAAATTCAGTTTTAAAGAGTGTGCATGTCTTGATGAAATCCACAGTTCAAGTTTACTGCTGAATAGGAATGAAGAGCTGATGCATGCACCAGCACTCTGGGACTTTATGCTGGTTGACATATACAAAGAAACTTTTGATAGTGTTTTAGAAATCTTTCAGAACAAAACGTGTGTGGCAGGGTTGAGGAGATGACAGAGGGGCAAATATTTCATTACTGTTTTCCTTCTCTGCTCTTCTGACATTGCAGGTTTGTACAGAATTGCTCTCCATTTTTGTGTACTCAGGGAAATATAGACTAAGGATGGCATGGTGATAATAGAGGCTAGGATTAAAAATATCAAATACCTGTGGCCAAGTTCCTTTGGTCCATTACTGGTAGAAACTTGTCTTCACACAGATGTATGAAAGGAAAGGTAAAAGCTTAAAATTGCTGCAGCTAACAAAATATTCATTATTACAATTGCTTTTGATAAACTACCATCTCAGAAGAAAAGTGTTAAATTGCATAAATTTTAGAAATAATGTCAGCACCAAAAACTCTCAGATGCAGGGCATCAATCTTCAGATACCATTATTTCAACACAACTTTACAGAATTGTCCATCTTCCTGTAACTGATCTTGTAGCATTGGTTACTGTTCAGCATGAAATAGGATGGTCTACAGCTAGCAACTTGAAAAAAATCATTGACTGTAACACTAGAAACCATGTTCAGATCATAACTGTTTTATTTAGACTATATTCAATAAACTGCACTCAGATATGTATCAAATCCTTTTTTTTAACATGTCTAAGTGAGATTATATGATTTTCATGGATAAGCAAGGACCTTTAAGGCTCAAATACCCATGATATTGAAAGATGTCAAAAGAAGAAAGTGATCAAAAAGAATAATACACTTGGAGATCTTTCCCTGCAACCAGAGTGAGAAGTTACTTCAGTTTCTACCCTTTAGTTTTAATAGGCGGAATCCCCTCTGGTTTTCCCTCAGAAGTAAGAAAAATGGTATAAATTCTGTCTCTTCTGCAAGATGGATATAAATATAGTTATTTTAGTCTTTGTATTGCTGCAGGAAGTCAAACATCCTGCACAGCCATCAGCAGTGGTGTAATCAGACATAATGTAGGAAAATGAAAGGTAGACCTCACTTTCCATGGATTATCCAACTGCTGGATTTTTTTCCTTTTATCTTACTGATCTTCTATAGGAACTAACTTTTTTAATGTATGTCATAAATTATTTTCCTGCATCTCAACATATTTCTTCTGCATCCTGGTTGTGTAGGGTCACAAGTGCTTTTCTCTCAACTTCATCGCTTAAAATAGTGAAATCAAGGAAGCTTCAAAAAATGAAAAAAAAATACTACTCCTGTTTTCCTGCTTTGTAATACCCTGAAAGGAAGAAGGAGTTACAACTCTCCAGCTACAGCTCAGAGGATTTCCTTTAAGTGTTCTGATTCCAGAGGAAGAAACATATTTTTTCCAGCTAAAATTGGGAATTAGTTAATTAAGTACCCAGCTTGCTTTCTCCCTGTTTGGTTTGGGTTTGGTGGGGTTTATTGGTGTGTTTTGTTTGGTTGGTTTGTTTGGGGGTAGGGGTTTTTTTTCTGTTTTTTAAATAGTCTTCACAGAGAAAAAAGAGGAAGAATGCATTAAGTATTTCCTGAGCTACTTCATTAAATGAAGGAACTTTGTATCTCCCAACATCAAGTTACTTTTGCTTTTTTCAGTTAAAGCTGAAATATTTTTACAGCTTTCAAAGGGTTACATAAGGCAATGAACTGATAGTTTGTCAGTGCTCTCTTTTAAAACTGTCAACATGCACATAATGAAGCTGAAATTAAACAATCACTATAAAGGGAAAATCTCACCTCAGACGTGACAAGAAACTGCAGAAAACTGTAACTGCAATATTAGGAGATGACCTTCAAGTCTTTTGCTTTATTTCTGGAAAAACAACTCATATTTGCATCTTATGGCTTGTATCATTAAAACTGATACACATCTGTTCCATAACTAATCATGTGGAAAGGCCAATTAAAAAGAGTAGTACAAAATGGTAAATTTAGCATCTCTCATCAATGTAGCAATGAAGTAGTAACTAATCATAGGTAGACTTTAAAAATAAATTAGGAAGCAACTTAGTGTAAAACCCAGCTCATCCTCACGTGTTGCCATTTGATACTGTTTCTAGTTATTCTTTCCTGCTAGTTTTCCAGTGGTTTTTCCTTTTCCCTTTTCATTAGAGACCTCTCTATCAAATTCCTTTCTCATTTGTACCAGCGTAAGTCTCAAATAAACCCTTTACATTTAATTGCATTATTCTTGATTTACTTTAGTGAGCCTGTGAACAGAATATGACCCTTTTTCTTTAGCAGTAACCAAACTGTCCTTCTTAATTTTGAAAACACACAGAATCAAGCTTGGGTAGGAAAAACTCTCCAAAGTTTGAATAGCCTAAGTTTTCTTATTAGGAAGCGACATCCGTTAAAGAAGACAGTGTTCTGCCTTCCTATTTTTGTAGGAAGGTGCCTCACTGAAAAGTCTGGTATTTTAAATTACCTGCCAAACAGAATTTAGCTCTGAATGCCTCAAAAGTAACCTGATCCTGCAATGGGAGGAAAAGGAAGCAGTTGCTTTTATGAGGTATCTTTCTGAAAATGGTCGCTGAGGAAGACTGTACTGAACCTGCAGTCAGCTGTGCGGTTTGTTGGGAGCAAGATCCAGTGACACCTCAAGATTTCTTTAGTGAGCCCTGCCCAACAGCACCATGAGTCCCAGCAAAACCAGCGACACCCCTCAGCAGCATGAAGTCTCCTTTGTGATTGAAAGGAAATAAAAATGGGGTATTGTAAGGACAGAAAATCAAATGCAGTGTTTATATTCAGAATAAAAATCATAAAGTAAAATTATTTAGCTTTTGAGCTGTCAATGAAAATATAGGCTGTAACTTGTTTTCATTGATTCTTCTCTCATTTTCCTGCAATGTTTCTATATAAGTTGCTGTATTTCTACTCTCCTTCCAAGCAGAGTAACTTGTAACTCTTGTCAGTAAAGAGAAATTAATCAGTATATTTGGCAGATAAAATTTTCAATAGGGAAAAATCTTTTTAGGAAAGATTTTTCTTCTCACTGACTCTATGAAGGAGTTGAAGGAGTTTCCCTGTTTTTCTGAGAGCTATTCCCTTTGACATAATCTCAGAGTTGTCACCCAAAATCGGAGCCTTACCTGTCATTAATTAATTTAAAAATACAGATTGTTTGAAGCACTTTTCCTCCCTAGAGATATCATAATAATACAGGAATTGTTTTATCTGCCCTAGAAAATAACTGTTTATTTTCTCTGTTTATTAGCTGTTTCTAAAGCAGGCACCCAAGATCCTAGTGGAAACTGGTTAGGACTTCTTAAGGCTCCTGTACCCAAAGTTCTTAAGAGTAAAAATAAAAATGTTGCTTCTATTTGAACCATCAAAGTAGACTACTCAAGTAGAAATTATGGCACTTGAAATAGGAAGTCATTATTTTGAGAGTCCTGCATAAGCGTGCCAGAATTTTATCCTAAATAATATTTAAAACTAAATCTCCTGCCAACTCTGCCACATATTTTCCCGTGGCATAGAGTATATTAAAAACTCCTATGCAGAACTAGGAAGGAAGGGCATTGAACAGATCCCCTAGAGGTTAGTGGAGCATCAGTTCTTTATGAGACAAATCCGATAATCAACTATTTCAGACAGGAGCTATTTCATCCTCTTCATTGCTAAAACTAGTGGTAATTGTTTATGTGTTTGAGAACAGTCATCCCTCATAAATTTAAAAAGAGGTATCAATTCCTCTGACTTTTGCTGCTGCTGAACTGTGCCTTTCTATTCCTGTAACAACTACAGGGAGTGTGGTTTAGTATGAGAGGTCAAAATTGCAGAATATTGTTGATCTTTTTATTAACAATTTATTATAGTACCCTTCATAAAAATTTCTTTTATTATTGGTGTTGTAGAGACGTCCAAGCAGATGGCCAGCAATGAAATTCAGAAGAGGATCTGGACATCCTGCCTATGCTGAGGTGGAACCAGTGGGAGAAAAAGAAGGGTTCATCGTATCAGAGCAGTGCTAAAATTTCTGGGACAGAACACCAGTACTGGCCTACAGGTGTAAGACATTTATTTTGCCTCTCTTTAAAGAAAAGGAGCCCTAAGCTGCTGTAGCCTGATAGAAAGAAGATTCTGGATAAACTTTGTCCAAGAAGAAAAACAATCTAAGATACCAGATTACTACTGCACAGTAGTTTTTGTTAGTGGACTGAGACACAATGGTTCATGCAGAACACTTGTCAGTGGACACCTACAGTATCAGAACCATGGCACAAGTGCCATGATATTTGCTTTAGGTGTGGGGATGCACAGTAATCAGAAATATAATAAAGCTTTGGTGCGCAAGGGTGCTGCCCTTTGGTTCAAGTCTTCTCTGTTATCTCAAAGACTGAGGAAAAAATCTGTACCATTTCAGTGCAAAGGGCATTGATCACAGTGTGATTGAGAAAAGCATCTTAAGACAGGTAAAGAAACAGAAAAGGAATTTTCCAACATTTACATAAGCAGATGTGAAATACACTTTTCAATTCTAAATCAACCTGCCAACCTGAGTGATTCACAATGTAAATGCTTTCCAGGAATAATACAATGTTTCTTGTACATTGCTGATTACTAGGCTGCTAAACAACAGATTGGTAAGAACTGAAGACAACAGAGAATTTTCATTATGGTGGAATTATTTCATGGGAGTTCACATGACGTTTGGTTGATTTTCAATTTCAATGTTCACTAAAAAATGAATGATCAGGTTTGTATTAAGGTGTATTTTTCATTTCTCAGCAGTAGGTTGAAGTAAAGCAACAGATCCTTTTAGCTGCCAGAGAGCTTATGGACCATTTCTTAGGCAATGGGGTGAGAAAAATAAGATTTAAAATAAATGGGTTTCTACTCTTTGCCATTTCATTGTGAGTCCTTACTGAGAAGCACCATAGACTTCAATGCATCCCTTCCAGAGATTCAGATACAAGTGTTATTGAACCCTGCTGATTCATACAGTGGTTTTGTTTAATGCACATAGTAGTTGCATAAATATATATATAAATATATTTTTTTTTATAGCTAACACAAGGCGGGTTCTTGTGACTGTTAAGACTGCATTTTTGTCATCCAGACAAAGGAAATGAATTGCATTACTGCATATTTCCACTGAGTTGTAAAATAATCCTTAATATTAGAATATTTTTATGTTGTGTAGGGAAGGTGGTTCATGTAGTTGCAGTCCATAAACTTTCTGCCTATTGGAACCATTCTTTCTGTAAAATTGACACTTTCCCTCCCTGCACAGGGAAAGACAACACTATAAATTCACACCATCAAAAACAGTTACTCCTTTCAGGGAAGGGGTTTATATACATGGAGACCCAGAGCTTCCCTGAGGAGTGGAAACCTAAATGCTTTGATGATCTGGGCCTGAGGTATTGAAATGTAAAATTCAGGTACTGCATGTACGTTTCATAGCAGTCATTTACTATCAATTTTTTTACATACTGTGCAAGGCACTTGAATGATTTTTAAGTGAGGTATAAAACATTTGTGGTTTTGGATTTTGAGCAGTTTAAAAAAGTTGTAGATACCACCTTAATAGTACAGTTACTTACATTTCTTGATGCTTGTATGGCCTAAATTTGATTACTTAACGCTGTTAAAAAAAAAAAAAGCAAACATTATTTTTGTTATTTTGCTCAGTAAATACTACAATACTGTATTTTCTGTATTCTTTTGTTTTGGGTAACACATTTTTGTTTTCATCTGGTTTGAATCATCTAGCATGAGATTGAAATTGTTCAAAAACTAACTGATATTAATCTGAAGGTACTAACAAACACATTGTTTTGAAGCCTGGTTAAAAACCTGTGGCGAGTAGTCATTTCCATTTGTGTGGGTCTGCTGAACCCTTTTTCTAATAGGCTGGGTTTAAATTGCAGGCTTTTAATTCTGATAGCAATAACCAAATGTATGCACATATATATGGTGACACATTTTTATTAAATAAAAAGGTATCAGTGCACATCATGTAGGAACGTATTTGGTGTGCAATAATTATCATCAGTTTTTCTGGGAATCTTGGAAGTCCTCAGCTGGGGTTCATTACAAAAAAAAGCAATTGCAGAGCTTCTGGAATCCTGTTTGAAATAATTTTTATTTCAGAGAACATCATTGCAAATTATCCTAAGAATTTGCAAAAATCTACATAGTACTGCAATAAGTTCAAAGGATATTTCATATAAGTAAAGAAGATTTATATTATTGTGGGTTTACAGGTCTGCTCTTCATCTGATTCATTCCTATTTTTACCCAGGTATGTAATGTATGTCATGCAATGTAGCTGACAGAGTATTTGTGATATGAGTAGACAAATATGTCAGCAATTTTAAAATCTGATGTTTTGGTTACTTTTGGTTTAAGGCCCCTTCATAGCTGAAGGATGTTTGTTAGTATTTGCAGACTAACTTACATGTTATACTACTTCATAAAATAATAGAAATATTTTTTTTCATTTTTGTCCTCATCATGTACTTAGGTGGGAGATTTCACTGGTCTGCAGGGAGCATCATAAAATACTCCTTCAGGCTTTTGCCACGATGTTATATGCTGTGGATTATAACATGAGGAGTTGCTGGGTTTATTTAATAAGATTGATAGGCATATGCTTATGTCTGATAAGAACTGCTATCTGAACAGAGAACCTCCTGCATACTAGTGGATGTATAGTATCTCATTGGTGTCTGCTTTGATATATTCTGTGGTATGTTCTATTTATCCCAGTAGGCAAAAGTTAATTAAGGAATCTGTTGCTGTTTTGTAATTCCATCTGGTTTTCTAATTTTTTAATAATTAAAATTGCCACATTAAAAATTATACAAACATTAATCTAGAGGTCTGATAAAATATTGAGATTAACTGAGAATCCTATTCTTATATTTTTATAAAGCAGGAGGTTTAATTGACCCAGCCCAAAAAAATGTCATACAGCCCTCTCCCAGAAATCCAGCTGAAATGTTTTTCAACAATTCATAAATTTTCATCTAAGTGTCTGAAACAGTGGTTTCACTAGCATTCCCAGTGGTCCTTCATTTGAATCTTACTCAGAAAAAATGCTTGTTTACAGAGTCATTTATCCCAACAGTTATTTTAACTCTTAAACTTCCCTATTGAATTTATTTATCTAATACTATTTGTTTCAAGATCTGTCACATTTTTCCTTATTATTTTCCATTTTAGTGTCAACTGTTCCATAATGCCTAACTCTCAGTGCTCTGCTTCAGCTCATCCTCCTCCACAGAGATAAAGAAAAATTTGAATTCTAAGGACTCAAGGCACATTACTAAGTAGCTTTCAAATCTTATTAAGATGAAACATTAAATCAGATGTACATGTATATGTGCATGTGTGTGTGATTTATATATATATATATATAGACATAGATAAAGATATAGATCACCACACACAGAAATTATTGAAAAAAAAGACCCTACAATTTCCGAAGTTGTATTCATATATTAAGAAATTGTGGAACAGCTGAAGTGGAATTGTAATTTCATTCACATGTGCATACTTATAATGATGTGATTATTTAATTGTTCTCTATGGTTCTCAGTACATCCCATAATGTATTGGAATAAGAGAACTCAGATTTTTCACAAGAAACCTCTATGCCATATTTTTCTCCTCTTTGCTCAAATTTTTGTTGCATACCATCCAAAGCCTTTTCAGAAGACCTTTTTTTCATGGACTTTTCTTCTGTACCCATCACATTGAGGGATGTATACCCTGATTTATTTCTGCTCTGAGCATTCCCATGAAGGGAGTCAATTTTCCAGAGAACACCATATGAAAGAGTTCTTCTTTTCTTATAATTGCCCTTCTCATTCTCTACAGCTTCTGCTGCAAATGATATAGATATCTTGTAAGTAACAACCTACTTCAATGCACATTATTATTTAGCTTCAGATCAAGCTCATTTTACAACTAATGTGTGTGCTGGAATTCTGGGAGAAAAGATAATACATCACTGTATTCTGAGAAACTGTGGAAACCAAATTAAATTTGCACAAGCTGAACAGAATATTTAGCTTTGCAAAATTCACCGTATTTCTTGTTCAACAGAGTTCAAACTGTAAGAAAACTCGCTGCCTGAGTACCTGAGACAGCTGAGTAGTCATGCCATTAGTTTGCCATTCAAATGTGAAAGCAATGGAAAAGGAAGGGGTGAGCTGGTTTGCCAGTGAGCATGGAAGAGATATTCTTTTCTGTAAAGTGAAAAGAGTTCCAATGAAAAAAAGAGAATATTTCTATATTCTATTAGAGAACCTCTTGGATAAGCAAAAGAAACTCTAAATTGTAACACACATCATTTCATTTGTATAGGATATCTAAACAAGGTTTTGCAAGCAGTTGTCAGGAGCTGGCAGATTTTCACAAAGTAGGTGGGTGACTAGAGCATTCAGAGTAGCCCATGTTGGATCATGGTCCAGTTCACAGATCATGAAAGGGAATTTTTACCTTGAGTGCATACTGTGGAGAAAGCAATGGCTGTGTTATGAGTTTCTGATGCTAAGCAATGAAGCTTTGTATAAAGACAACATTTGACATTCACATAGAAGACATCTCAGCTGCACACAGCCCACAGGATTAGCCATGAGGAACAGAACTGGAATAGATCACAAATTTGGCTCAAATCAACAGTTTTGATCTCGGGGAATTTATTACCTCCAGTGAAGAGAAAGACCAGCAGCAAGCACTGCTGTTCACAGGAAGACCAATGGAATCCTTACGCATGTGCCTCTGCCTTCTTGCAGAGAACTGCTTGAAGCCTAAAAAGCCCCAGAAATAAATGCTACTGACCAACAGGGTAACCTTAACCCTAATGCTCATGTTTTAGACAGAGATTTCAAGAACTGATACCTGATACTAATTTCCTTATGGATGTAATAATACATTGGGTTTGAGTCTTGGTTTTTTTGGAGTAGGAGAAGGAGAAGGGAAAAATGCAGAACAGAAGGAATTTCAGTATTCCCAGATGCTCCAAAGGTACAGCGAGAAACCTTATTTACAGTCTTGAGAGCATTGTTACTGTGAGCCAGTGGCACTGAGTGGAAACACATGAGGTCTTCCTTCATGCCAGCTCTATAATTTTAAACTAAAAAAAGTCATCAGAACCACTGGCTTCTGTCTAAATCATGAGTCTATATTTCATCTCATGGATGGTTTATGTCACTCCTTAGGGAAAAAAGGCTTGAGTCACAGACAGGATTTTGAGGTGGAACAGTGTGCCAGTAGTGTTTTATCAGAAGCCAAATATGACAAAGCAGGATGTAGCTTGTGTAGAACTGAGAGAAACAAATCAATTTAATTTTATCAGAGCAGCCAGTATCGCTACGGCTGAAGCACGGATAAAAAATTCAAGTCTGTGAGCTGATTGGACTTGATTGAAACAATATCATAAGTCTAAAGCTGTCCTTTAACTATCAGTTTATGGTCAAATCTTTAGTGATTTTCTTGACTTTTTAATTTTTTATGGGGAAGAAAACACTTGAGCATGCCAAGTAGAATAAAGTATCTTTCTGACAGGAACAGAGTCTCATCCTGATGCAATTCTTTCCCAACCAGAACAGTCGCTCCCCTAACAACTCATGAGTTAACAACTCGTTTTAGTGGGTCTCCTGATGACTCCACAGGACATTCCACACTTTTTAACACAATTCTCTCTCTTGCAAGTTTTTTCAATACCTATATCCTGCCTTACATTTTATCCTTTGGTTCTTCACCTCTGACTTAACTCTGCATTCTCATTACTTCACTTTCTTTTACTCCTTTAAGCTCTGACTTATGTGTCATCATGATCACTTTTAGTATCACTCAAAATAAGCCTCTATCTGAAAAAAAAAACAAAAAAAAACTCCATTTGATTTTTCCTCTGCATGTGGGTTCTGGGTAAATAGAACTATTTGAAGGTAGATTTTCCTGTTATTGACTGGATTCTGTCCACATAAATTATCAAGCTAAATGCTGAATCTCTTGGATACTTTTTGCTTAGACATTTTGGTAAAACTCTTCAATTACAAACTTGTCCCAGATATTTATTAAAGCAGCAAAAGGACTTTAAAAGACAGACATCAAAACATTACTCTTAATTACATCCATTTAACTAAGCAGAAAAATTTACCGAATTAATGAATATAGATGCCTGTTGTTTCTGTGGTCTCCAGGAATATGGTGTTTACGGATATTAATTAAATTCTTCTCATGCAGTTTGCATTATTTCCTTTGGTTTAGCTCTTACTTGAAAAACAAAAAGACTATTTTGTTAATTGCTAATGTTAGCTTGAAAGAAATTTGGTTTATTGTCTGCTTGGGTGGCACAGCATTTCCTCAGACATCTAGAAACTGTTAGTAAGAAATATTACTTGTTCCTGTCTAGCTTTTTTTGGACTGCTCATTTTATTACTAGACTTTTTTTTTCAGTTTCAATAAGAGTTGTTAATTTTTTTTTTTTGAGAAGTAGCAAAACATACTGTAATCTGAGGGTCAGGTTTGGCTAAATACCATCAATGTTATCTTTTATTAAAGTTTTTCACCTGAAAAATTTTCAGCTCTGACTTGACTACGAGTACGTCAGGATTTCGCCACTGTTTTAGTGGCAAGCTGAAGCTTTCCAAAAGAAAACGGAATGCCTTTCCTGGAAATGTGGGTATTTTCACAATGACCTGTTTCCAGAAGGAATCCTCTTCCTGGAGAGATGAGTCTGGCAGTCCAGGTTTACCATCAGAGTGTGATTGAAAAAAAAACTAACTCTGCAAAACACAAACACTGTGTAGCTGTGCTATCAATGGATGGAATTGCTTCCAGCTGGGACCTGACCCCTCCACAGCCCTTCTCCAACATGGGCTGTGGGCAGGATGAGGGCAGAGCAGGGGCTGCTTGGAGGACTGCAGGTGCCATTGCACTCTCCATAAAACAGCGTGACCTCGTGCCAGCCTCTGCCTTGTCAGTGCTGAGCATGAGCCAAGGATCTCCTCAGCAGTCCCACGAGGTCATCCCCGTGGAGTGAGCACAGCCTTTGCCTCCTGCAGCCATGCACACACAGCTTGCATGACCTCGCACTCATCCACTCCTTCCAGTTGCTGTCTACCATGCATTTTGAGTTTTGAGTGCTTTCTCAGAGCAAGAGCACTCTGTCACCATAAAAGATGACACAAGTTCTCTCACTCTGTCTCTGCAGCACGCTTTGCATCCTGAGGTGAGGACCTGACAGATCTCCTTGCAGAATGCTGTCCTCCTCACCTGAACTGCAGATGAGCATGTCAGTGAGAGGGCTCAGAGGTTATCTTGGTCTGCAGATTTCTGCCTAGAGGGAAACATATGTGACAAGAAACCTGGGGAGTTTGCAATTGAGTGATTGTAATTTTTCATATAAGATCAGATACCTAAAAATTTTCCTAAGGATGTACATTTTCCTGTCTAGAGGTGTCGTTGGAAATTGTAGAAGTAGCAAGCAGTTTCAGGTTGTGTCTTTGTTTCAAATATACAGTTAAATCAGGGATGCTAGATTCCCGCAATCAGTGAGGTGTGGATTTTCAGATGTATGCTGCTATTTTACAAGCAACAGACTGGGCATAAGACAACCTTGCCCATTTATGTTATGTCATTTTTCATCAGCATCATCCTCAGGAATCCAGTTCACCAATATATAGATTTAGATATACGTTTCCCTGGAAACACTTTCTTGCCTGGAGCTGATGTAAAAACGCTCTGCATCACAGTATGCTGTTCCTAATTTTCTAGTTGCCTTAGGAGTGAAGAGAGGTAAAGCCTTCCTGCAGGATGCTGAGGTATCTGTGATGAGCATCATGAGCAATAAAGAATGTGCAAACACATATGCACAAAGCAAAGCCAAACTTTTCTCCCTGCTGCAGATCAGGAAATCGTGAGCAAGACAGTAATGAAATGAGATGAACCCTTCACTGCAGAAGCAATGAAGTGCAGTGTGGAGGCTTGTCTTGCTGTCATCTATTCTAATGGTTTAGAACAGTCACCTTGTACTTTGGGAACTAAATGATGTATGGAGCTTTTATTTGCCTAGTCCATGTCTTCTCTCCAACCAGTGCCTATTGCAGACTGGAAATCTCTCAGCTTTCCACTTCTAAGACAATGTATAAACAACCCAAAGTTTATAGACACAGTAGTTTTAGTAAAAGTTCTGTCACCTCTCTCTGCATTGAATAATGATGCTTTGGCTTAGAGAAACTCTGAGCTCTGTGGTTTTGTTCCTTCTTTCTCCCTGCAGTGGATATTAATAGTTGTACAGCATGCAGAGAGCTCAGCTGAAGTACTGCAAATGAATGTCAATTGTTACATGTGATAATGGGAAAAGAATGAGTAAAACCATGCTCAGAGAAGAAATACTCCTCATCTACTAACACTCGAATATTTTCACAAAAATTGTTGTGGAATGATTCTGAGTATTAAATAGAGGGCAGTACATTTCATCTGAGTAAAGGAGAAGTTGCCTTTCATTTTCCATGAAGCTATAATCACAGTCAACAGCCCAAAATATGAATAAAAGGCAAACCTTTTTCATTACGTTTTAATATATGAATGACTACCTGGATTTATAGTATTAGTGTTTCCCTTGTTGACTGCATGTAGCATGTCACTCTGTTGTGCTGTATATTTTTAGTAAAATAATTTTAAATATTTTGAAATTAGTTTTCCATATTTAATTAATTTAATCTTTGACGTTAGCACAAAATCCACTGCTAAATTTTCAAATATTTTAAGCAAACATTTAGCAATAGCATGTACATGCTAAAAAACCCATAGGTAAAAATCCCATACACAAATATCTTTTTACAGTCATTATTAAGAAAATGTTCAAAGGGAGTAGGGGAAAAAATGAATTATATTTAAATATACTACCAAGCATCTTTCTTCATTAATCATCCCACTGACCACAATGGCTGAATGAAGGCAAAAGGTTTCGTTCTCTTTACTGATAATAAATTGGGATATACAAGCCATAAAGAGTCATCAGTTGCTGAAGTGCCCAAAAACAGAGTGCTTCAGCTGAACAGCACCTCCTACCTCCTAGGGAGGCAAAGGGATGCACACCTGGAGAGAAAGAGGAAAGATTAATGGTACACCCAGTCACCTTATTGAAACTTGTGCATACCCAGATCAGCTCAGACACTGTGCTGTTTGCTGCTTTCTTCCTTTAGAACAGATACATCAGCTGTGGTAATCTCCAAGGTGCCCTCCCCTCTGCAGAGCAGCCAGTCTTGTTGAAATCCACCATTGCTAACAAAAATTAAAAAAAATAATAAAATAAAAAAAAATAAACCAAAAAAAAAACCAACAAACAAGAAAAAAGGAAAAAAAAAAAGAAAGAAAAAACCCCCCAAGGCTCAGCTAATTCTGTGCAGCATCTGAAAGGAAAGATTTCTGAAAAAACATATTTACCACAGTGATTAGCCAAAGGGCTGGGTAGATTTGAAATGAGAATTATTGGATGACATTTGCATGGCTTTCTTGAAAATAAAGAACAGATTAAGCATCTCTATCAGAGAAGCATTACAGCCTAAGTGGAGCAAATACCATGAAAAACTGCTCATAAATATAAGTGCTGCTATAACAGTTGCTCTTTTTCTTTTAAGAGGTTATGTAATGCAATACACAACTTTATTCAGGATGAAAGTTTTTGTCATGCTCATATATGGCTTAAACAGAGACACAATCCCTTTCAGGAAAACCTTGCCAGCACCAGTGAAGTTCCCTGCATTGAGGCATATATTATTGCATTAAAAGGGAAAGCAGAGATCCAGCTTACAAAGAGAATTTTCTCATCTGATGACTGTCCAAGGAGAAAGTGATGAGGGAGCATGTTGCTCTGGAAATGAGCACGTCCTCACAATGACTGCCAGTTGGTGAATTGCTCACAGGAAGCTTCAACATGGGAGCAGCAGACACCTGGTCATCAGTGTGGCAAAGGCAAGAGGCTGGGCTTCAGGAGGAGGGGGCACATGCCACCAGGTCACCTCAAGGGTACAGCACACCAGGGGCCATTAGCCACCTCTGCTCTTGTCACAACAGAGATGGAAACCCAGCAGGTATAAAATGTGCTCTTCCCATGCTCCACCATTCCTAGCGGTGGTGATGGTGGTGGTGGTGGTGGTTTGACTGCTGGCAATGAAGCACTTTGTTATTGGCCTCAGAAACCCGTGATAAACGGCTCTGCAAAATCCAGCTCCCATTCAGTCAGGATTTGCTTTGGCAAGATTTGGACCCCTGCTGCATTTTAGTATCAAACTAATTGGCATAGCAGTGGAAAAAGAGCACAGGAAGCAGAGCAGCCATACACAAAGCAAGCACAACAAAATGCGCTTGAAAGAGGTTGAGGTGAATTTCCCACCTATTTGCAGTTTCTATTCTCTTTTTTCCCATGATAACTGAAATGTTCAGTTTGATAAAATCTCCATCATGAAAGTTCCCCCACCCTTAGGATTCTTAATAGGGCTGAGTAACAAAAGTGAAGAAAAACTGTAAGTTGTTCTTGTACCTGAAGTGCTTTAAAACCTTAGGAAAATAATTAAAAATACACACATACAA